GCAAGAAGAGTTGCAGGTGGGAGAATGTAATCATGGCAGCTCTAAAGTGGATCTGTGTGCGTTTCTCAATTCCTCTCTGGCAGAATTTTCTGGGATTATTAACTCCTAAGGGAATTTGTTCTATTCTTCCAGGGATGTATTTTGGGCAATTCTTCCATTCTCTTTCGACTTTCAGCAATGGATATTGAGGGCTGCTAGTTTGAAGATGCAGTATGATAATTCGTTTCTGTCTCTCTGCTCTTCCTTTGTTTCTCGTATCACATCATGTCCAGAAATGCGGGCAAGCTGTGACTGAGTATCCCAAGGGGAGGAAAGATTCATTCAGACCTTCTCAAGAGCTGCTCTTCAGGGAGAACTTCTGGGAAGATCAAAGTCAAGATGCTACGCAAGGTAAGAAAAGCTTTTTCTGTGTGAGGTGAGATTTCAACATTTAGCTGATTATTTCGCTTCACTTTACTGGAGTATCTGTCTTTAAAAATCTAATTCCACAATTTTTCTCTTTCTCATAGAGAGTAGAAAGCTTTCCTTGGACTTTTTAGAATCACCTCTTTATGCTGGAACTGAACCAGTACTTCAGGTAAGGAGAAGAAACATTGGAAAAGGTCCATAAATCTTGAATGGATTTCATTTTGTTCTAGAGTTCAATATATAAAATTGCTTTTTCTAAGTAATACAAATTTGACATCAGGTCATTGAACATTCACATTGAGCTTAGCCTCCCCTCTTCCTTCTAAGGCAAGGGTATCAAACTCAATTTCATTGACAGGTGCCTCAGGACTGTGATTGACCTTGTGGGGGGCCAGGCAGGCATGGCCGACTGGGTGAGCGTGAATAGTTTGACGCCACTCTCCAAACTGCTGCTTCCTCTTCGCTTAGGGTAGACCAGGCCGAAGCCAGGCTGGCTCGATCTTTCTTCTTTGCATTGGGTAGACCAGGATGGCCCCAAGGGCCGAATCCAACCACTTCACGGGCCTTGACTGTGATACCCCTGTTCTAAGAGGATCCTTTGTGAGATGCCTTCTCCACCCATCCTGCTGCACCATTAGATTTCATTGACCAGACTAAAAAACATATCCATTTTTGCCTTTTAAAAAGCATCTTTGGTACAACCATGACCTGATGATTGAGAATCTCTATTGACATATAGAGTTCTGTTACAAGCTCTTCCAATTCCTTCATGAAGGTTTGGAGTTTGGGTACGTTGGTCCCTCAGGGGATAAAGTAAGCCATTGGAAAACATGTCAGGTGGGATTTGCCAGTATTTTGCTCTGCCCATCCTAGGAAGAATGGGAGTCACTCACAGGTAATTGATTTAAGACCCAACTATCAATTGACCATGAATATTTTAATTGGTTACACTGTAAGGCATTCCAGATACTTCCAGCTTGATCAAACATGATTTGGTTGTGCCATTAGCCAAAAAGCGGTGAGATCTTATTCTTAATTCTTCAGAAGATTCTCATTTTTTTTTCCAGTGGATCTGTTTCCTAGAATTGGTGGAGGAAAATTATCCCATTTTTCCTGGGATTATCTGTTAATAAGGAACCTTGTGTCCTTTTTCAGGATATTGTTTCTTTTGAGGAAGTGGCTGTGTATTTCTCTGAGGAGGAGTGGTCTCAACTGGATGCTGACCAAAAAGCACTCCATGCAGAAGTCATGCTGGAGAATTCCAGGAATCTGTTTTCTCTGTGTAAGAAACCCTTTCTATGATCACAAACATAGAGTAGGGCCTTGAAGGTTATTTCTGATTTTTTAAAAAATCATTTATTTACAGTGCATTCACAAAGTATTCAGACCCCCTTCACTTTTTTTCAATTTTGTTATGCTGGTGCATTCTACAGTTATTGAAATGAGTATTTTGTATTTTATGAGCCGAAAACATTAAAAAAACTAATAAGGGAGGCTGTGAAGACTTCAAATATTTCTTTGAATAAATTTCCTTCGTTTATAAAGTCAGTTTTGTCAAATGATTAAGATACCAGGCTAGAAAATGTCAATAGTAGTTTTGCCTTGGGCATGAATGCTGGCTGGGTGACTTTGGGCCAAAACTCTTTCAGCTCAACCCATTTCACAGAGTTGTTGTAGGGAAAATAGCAGGAGAAAGGAACATTGGGTTTGTCTGCTGCCTTAGTTATTTACATAAAGCAAAGGAAGGATATACAGTGCATTCAGAAGGTATTCAGTCTCCTTTCATTTTGTCAGTTTTGTTATGCTGCAGCCTGATTCTACAGTTGTTGAAATTCATTTTTTTTCTCATTAATCTATGCTTGTTGCCCAATAATGAGAAAGTGAAAATTTTGTCATTTTAGAAATGTGTGTAAATTTATTACTTTCTAGCCTGAGATCTTAAGCTTTTGAGCAAAATGATTTTATGGAAGAAGGAAATTTATTGAAAGAAAAACTGGAAAACTGCATAGCCTGGCTTTTTGCATAAAGGAAATTGTTTTTTTTTTTAAAAAAAGTTTCTGCTCATGAAATGCAAAATACTCATTTCATTGAATATATTAGGAAGAGTCTGAGGAAGAGGTTGAATGTACTGAGGAAGGTTCTTCTTACTAGGATTCAGGATTCCCTCCTGAACCTGGTCACTGGGTTCCTGATGGCCCTAAGCTGCTATAAGCAAGATTGGATGACCTCTGAGAGGGTTGTTCCCTTCTTGGAGATATGCCCACTTGTGTACTGAGTTTGGCATTAGCCTAAGTTAAGGGTGGGGAGCTATTTTCATCCAGAAATTCCTTTGGGCTTTCAAAGATTCGGCTCTGCAGACAAGTGGAGCTGAGACTTTGATTGAAGTTAGGAAGTGCTGAGTATGTTGCTGCCCTAGCATGATACATTGTCCAGTACATTTTGGGAGTTTGTAGCACCATGGAATTGTCCTAGGAGAAAGATTAGGTACGGGCTGTGATCTAATCCTTTTGTATGGGGATCATTAGGGATACACTTGGAAAAGTGTCTTTGCTATAATCTTTGTTTGGATTCTTCATGTTTGCCCAGCAAAGACATGAAATACATTGATTATTCGTTGTCTGAATTTCAGAAGAAAAGGTTTTATTGTTCCTTATTTTTGCAACAGTTCTCATTTTTCTTTTTCAAGGCTTTAATGGGCAAGAGAATAAGAATTGCGAGGAGGAACACCAAGCAATCCATTCGAAAGCGGGGGAAAGGAAATTTGTAGATCAGATGCAACCAAAGAATGATGAAACAAAGCAATCACAAAGTGGAATTAAAAGAAGTCTTCCTCTTGTCAATTGGCTTCCTAACCATACAATGAGTGATACAGAAGAAAGACCATATAAATCCATGAAGTGCGGAAAGTGGTTTAATAAATCCGATCATCTCATTTCTCATGACAAGACATATTCAGAAGAGAAACAATTTACTTGCATGGAGTGTGGAAAGACCTTCTCTTACAGTTGCTATCTTATAACCCATCAAAGAATCCACACAGGAGAACGACCGTATAAATGCATGGAGTGTGGGAAGACCTTTACTCGTAGCAGTCATCTAGATTGCCACAAGAGGATCCACACAGGAGAGAAACCATATCAATGCATGGAGTGTGGAAAGACCTTTACTCATGGCAGTCATCTTAATACCCACAGGAGGATCCACACAGGAGAAAAACCATATCATTGCATGGAGTGTGATGAGACCTTCTGTTATTATAAGACTTTTATAATCCATCAAAGGAATCACAGAGGAGAAAGTCCTTATATATGCATGAAATGTGGAAAAACCTTTACTTGTAGCAGTAGTCTTAAATCTCACAACTTGATCCATACAGGAGAGAAGCCTTATCAATGCATGGAGTGTGGAAAGAGCTTTAGGAAGCGTGGTAATCTTAATTCCCACAAGAGGATCCACACAGGAGAGAAACCATATGTATGCATAGAGTGTGGGAAGGCTTTTAGTCAGAATAGTAATCTTACCTCCCATAAGAGGATCCATACAGGAGAGAAACCATATGTGAGAAATGATATAAGTTTGCTATAGTTATTCCTGCAAAGATAAACCATATGGACTCCATATTTAGCCTAAGAACAAACCAAGATAACATATTAAGTAGCAGGTCTTATTTTTGATGAAAACATGTTTATTCCTGATTTTGCAAGAACATTGTTGGCAGGGCACATAATAATTTGGGGTCATTGGGGGATTTTTAGAAGAGACATTGGGGATTTTTGGAAGGTCACCCAATGTTTAGTGAAAGATGTCAAATGATATGGGGTATGCCCAGTGTTATTACTGGAATTAAAGGGGAAAACCATGTAGGGCAAACTTTCCTGGAAACAGATTCATACTCCACCTCTGACCAATGAGATTGCAGAATATGATAACAGAAACAGATGTTAGACCTTTAGAAATTGCATAAAAATCTTGTAAAATTGGAAACTTGTCTATCAATATCTCTTGACATTGGGATTCCACTTTTGCAAAAGTTTAATAAACAGCTCTGAATTTGTTCATAGCGTTCTTTGTCTTTTTGATTTTTCTGAGAAATGGCGCCCGAACAGGGACCTTCTGAAATATATTAAAAGGCTTTTCCTTTTATGTGGTTTTCAGGAATAAGACTTACTTTCCCTCCAGAGGACGACACACTCTCCTTTTGGTAGACACCACCGCTGAGTTCAGTGTACAGGAGGTGAAGTTTTTCGGCCTCATAAGCGGGAAAGCTCTTCTACCCAGACAGAGAGACCTGTAAACAAAAGGGCTGAGCAACCCAAATGATATCTTGGTGCACCATCACTCATAAGTATTTGTTTTTCTTTTCTCTTGAGGAACAGAATTGCTGTGTTTGGAATTGAGGGGTCTCACTGGGTGATTTATAACTCCTTGAATGATTGAACTGCGTCTATGATATACAGTGTTAGGGAGAGAAACCAGATGTTTTGCATGAGTGGCATATTTTTCTTTCTCTAACTTCAAGGAGGGAGTTTTGGGTTGTTAAGATGGAGCCCCGAAATGGGGTGTTTATGTCTAAAAATGCTAAGACAAACAGAAATCCCTTCAACTCCGCCAAATTCTCCATTGGGAGAAGTTACTTATTCAATGGAAAGATCCTTGGATGAGTGCTTATACAAAATGTTTAAATAAGGTATTTAGATAGAATACTGTACTGGAATCTGGCCAGAGTTTATTTTAATTGCTCCGAATTATAGGTGCAATAAATATGGTGAATCTGATATTTATTGGATAAATGCGTTAAAAAAGGGTTTTGTTAAAAATGGAATTGGAAAAACAACTATCACATGTGGAGCCCCGGTACCATGTACAATGGTCTGATCCTTTTCCTCCTCAAACAAAACAAATATTGTATGAGAAGGAAGAGGAAGATCAAAGGTGGGATCCACTTGCATATGCCAGCTGCCCATGTCCTCCTCCTTATAATCAAGAAGCAGTAGAAGAGGCTGTGGAAGGAGTGGATGTTTCAGCTATTAAGCAAGCAATCAGGAAGTTAAAAAGGGAGTTGGATACAATGGAATTAAATGCTGAAAGTCAACCAACTACCTCTTCAGGGTCTGTAACTAGATCCAGAGCCAAGAAATAGAATAGACTGCATCCTTTAAGAGAAATGCCTAATGGAATGTCAGATAACAGGAGCACCTGCTACTACTTTTGTAAAAGTACCTCTTACACCATCAGATTTGAGGAAATATAAAATGAATATGCCACGTCTACTGTCTGATCCTATAGTTTTGTCTGAATCTTTGGATTTGTTTCTAGGTCCTAATATCTATACATTTGTAGAATTACAACATATACTGGGTCCTGATAAAGCGTCGGAGAGCAGTGGAGAAATTGAGGCCTTTTTGCGAAGGATCATACCAGGTGCTATTAACCACTGAGTCTGCTATGAGGACCAAGGAGAAAGGATGGACACCTTACTCTAGAGTTAAGGGACCAATGGATCCCACTCCGGTTGAAGATTGAAGCAAGATTTACAGACTTTTAAAATCATACACATACAGTTTACATATACATATAGTTTATGTAGCAGCAGCAACCTCGAGGAGGAGATAAGCATGGCCAAGCAACCCTTTGGGAAAGCTGGTCTGCGCTGGGCTGGATGCTTGCCCTCCATTTCCCAGGGTTCCAGGCTGTCCATGCCACCATCCAGGGTCCTCCGTGTGGCCTGAGAGGGATGGCGAGGCTTCTCTGGTGGACGAGGCTTTGCTACTCGTCCTGGTCTGGTCTTCCTCTACTGGAGACCTCTGGATCCCCCCTCCCAGCCTTGCCTATCCCCTCACAGAAGATGGATGCTGCTGCTGCTGCTGCTGCATGTAGAAGCACGGAGGAGAAAGTTTGCAAGAAGCAGTTTCCTTCAGGTCCATCTTTTGCCTTGAAAGATCTCTGGAGAGAAGGAAGGGTGGCAGGCGAGTTGCATGAGGGAAGACTGCCCCAACAAGCCAGCATCTTTACTATACACGACTGGAAACAAGGATTTCCTTTCCAAAAGGGCCAGCCTCCCTCGTGCAAAACTGAGGAGTGCTGCTCCCCTGCCACCTCCTCTTGCTCTCCAGAGATCTGTCAAGGCAGAAGTTGGAGGAAACTGCTCCCTGCAAACTTCCACGCTCAGCAATATCCTCTTCTGCCTCTTGCTTTGCTGAAACAGGTACCGGACAGGGAAACAAACACCAATGGTGTCTGAGATTGGGAGAAGTCCGTCTCCTTTGGCATGCTGTTCAAGCGCCCACACACACCAATCCAAGCTTGGAGACTGAGTTTGCAAACTGCCAATGCCTGGGCTTGAGAAGGAGGCAACAAATTTTCCCCAACTTGAGTTAGCCAGTGCAACTTACTCCATCCTGACCCAGCTGTCCGAAATCAGCTGTGCCTAGTGAGTAGTAATGAACCGACCATGCCCATCCAGCCAGTGTGAGTTGTCATAGTCTTACATGCAACTGACCCTTTGAGGACAACCATAATGCTGATGTGACCCTCAATGAAATTGAGTTTGACACCTGCTTTGCACCATCCCCATGAACATGAGATCAAATGCTTGACAACTGGTTCATATTTATGCCAGTGGGATTGTCTTGTCTCAGGCTACATTTATCTTCTCAAAATACCTGAGATAAGGAGTTAAACACTACAAAGGCTTTCATACAAAGTTTCTTTATTGGATTATATCAAGCATCCTCAAGGTATAACTCACAGTTATGTTGAGATTCATCTAAGGTCCAATCTTTGCAGTCTTCATAGTATGAAAAGATAGTTATCTTCATCCCATAATGATACAGCAAAGGAAGACTCCAGCAGGTTGCTGGGGTCCAAGTAAGAATGAACAAAACTCCCCCTAACCCAACCAGAGGTCAATTCAGTGACCAATCGGGATTACAGATGTGACCACATGACATGAACTACATCTCCCATGAGGCATTAACTACATTTCCCATAAAGCATTCCCTTAAGGGGACAGCTCTCATTCCCAAACTAACTATATACTGTCTAACCAGCACACTCGCCACCTGGAATTATAAATTCCACTACCAACTAACTATCAACTAAAGTAAACATTAGATAGTAATATAGCATCAAACAATGCAACAATGAGGTCGATACAAAGCATGCAAAGCTTGAGGTTCAATCTTCAAGTTCAGCCTTTCCCCGCAGCAATACTAGGTCGGTGACTGGTCTGGTGTAGAGCTTCTTGGTGAAAGACTGTGGTCCTAGAAAGAATCTTGTGACTTCACGATCTGGACCTCGACTTGGCAGACTAGTCCATCAGAGCTGGGTAGGACTTGATGCGCAAGTCCCATGGGCCACCACGAGTTCCGATGCACATCCTTGTCTTTTAGCAAGACAAGGTCCCCTTCTTCAAGATTTGGTTCCTTGGTCTTCCATTTATGGCGGTCTTGTAGGGTAAACAGGTACTCTTGCTTCCAATGGTTCCAGAAGGTGTTGGCAAGCCATTGAACTTGTCTCCATTGTTGTTTGTACAAGTCCTTAGAATCACAGTTCCCTAATGGTATAGTACCTGTCTTCTGAGTTAGCAAGAAGTGGCTGGAGTGAGAATATCCAAATTCTCAGGATCTGAGGAAACCAGAACTAAAAGCCGACCATTGATGGTGGCTGCTACTTCTGCCATCAGGGTGGTTAGGATCTCATGCATCAACATAGATGTTTTCATCAACATGGAATCCAGGATTCTGCGAGCTATTCTGATCATGCGTTCCCATGCTCCTCCCATGTGGGATGCATAGGGAGGATTAAATATCCATACGCAATTTTGAGCTTTAAGGTAGTCATCAGTTGCTGAGTTAGGGTGAATGCCTTCATCAATTTGTAATTCTTTACAAACTCCTACGAAGTTTGTTCCACGGTCAGATCTGAATACCTTGACTCGGCCTCTATAGGCTTGAAACCTTAGGGTGTTGATAAAGCAAGAGGTGTCCATGGATTCGATGACTTCAATATGGACAGCTCGGATGCTGAGACATGTGAAGAGAACAGCCCAGCGTTTGCTGTTAGCTTGACTGCCCCTGGTCCGGCGAGCAGACACTGACCAAGGGCCAAATACATCTAGCCCTACATTGGTGAATAGTGGTTCTGGACTCAGACGCTCGGGTGGCAAGTCAGCCATCAACTGGTGTAGAGTCATGCCCCATTGTTTGCGACAATGTAGGCACCTGTGTAGAACAGTCGCAATGCATCTCTTAATGCCCACGATCCAGAGTCCATTAGCTCTGATGGCACCTTCTGTGAAGTGGTGGCCTTGATGGTGGATGGTTTTGTGGTTTTGACCAACAGGTTCGTTACATGTTGGCGAGCAGGAAGGATGATGGGGTGTTTGCTATCTAAGGCCATTTCAGCCTTGTTTAGGCATCCCCCTACTCAAAATAACTCATGGCTGCTGAGGTATGGATTCAATACCAGAAGTGGGCTAGATTCTGGGATGGGCTTCCCCACTTTCAGGCATTAGAATTCTACTGGATATGCGGCTCTTGTTGCACACTTCGTAGAAGTCTTCTCTCTGCTTGGATATAGCTTTCTGGGAAGCTTGTCTGAAAACCCTTCCGGTGACTTTGGAGACGGACGATCGCATGGATGATCATGGTCACTCCCAGTACGAGAAGTTTCAATCGTGAGAAGTGCTCAAAGTGAGCTGGTTCTATGGGGCATTCCTCCTTTTCTTTGACCATCGTTGTCATGCAGATGGCCTGTGCATTAGGTTTCTTGTCTAGAGGTTGAATGTCGGCATCGTGGTCTGGATCTACAAGCTCATGTTCTGATTCTCCAGGGTTCAGGGTGTCTGCACGACAAGAACTCAGGGCCTTTTAGCCATGTCGATTCTGCTAACTGAGATGCAGGAATAGACCTTGTAGCATGGTCTGCTGGCTTCTGGTCCATTGGTACATACAACCACTGCTTGGGTTTAGAAGATCTTCTGATCTGCTCCACTCTGTTGCTCACATAGACATAGAAGCATCTGCTCTTGTCGTGGATGTAGCCCAGCACCATCTTGCTGTGTGTATAGAGGGTGGTGGATTCTAGCTCAAGATCTATCATCTTTGTTATCAGATCCGCTAGTTCCATGGCCAGCACAGCACTACAGAGTTCCAATTGTAGTACAGTATGACCTTGTTGTGGTGCTAGTTTTGCCTTTTCATGACAAACCAACATAAGCGTTGCTCTCCCTGCCGTAGGCACTGAGGTATGCCATGGCTGCTACTGCCTTTGTTGATGCATCTGAAAAAACATGCAGTTCTTTCCTCTGTACTGTGGCGGGCGAGATAGGAACATACGTGCGCTGTACGTGAACATCTTGGAGACAACTTAGAGAGTTGCACCATGTCTCCCATTCTTGCTTCTATTCTG